TACAGCAGCCATTGTATTGGCTGTCTCATTATCATCGTCTCCATTATCATGTGCGATAATGGCATTTGTAGAGCTTCCCATTGTGGGCAATTTGGAAGAGCATTGTGTTGTGTTGGAAAGATTAATCGAGGGTTTACTGCTGCTGCTACTACCACTACTACTGCTTGTGCTGCTGCTGTTGTTGGTGTTGTCTTTAAGAACATCCGATATTGTGCGTTTTTGTTTATTGTTGTTATTGTTGCTTGTGGATAGTGTTGATGATGTTGTTGATGTTATCGCTGTTGTAGTTTCCTCACATGTATTGTTGTTAGTGTTGTTGTTGTTGTTGTTTGTTAATTGTTTTAATGTTGCTGCTGCTGCTGTTGTTGCATTTGCATTTGTTGTTGATGAAGTATTGGATACATCTGATAAAGCTGTATCCTCGCTACTTAAATCAGGCGGTGGGGTTGCATATATAGAAGCGGCCATTTTTGTTATTACTAAAATGAGACGAAGAAGAAAGGGAAAGAGCGAGAGAGAAAAAAAAAGTTAGTTTAATTAAATTTAAGTGTTAATAATTAATTTTCATATTGTTGAGCGATATTTAAGGATCAGTTTATTTGCGGGAGTTTAAGTTTTAGATTTGATATTTTTATAGAAAATTTAAAGGTTAGCAAAATTAGAAGATTGTTTCATTAAAAAGATAAAGTTTTAACTTGTGGCAGAATGTAGGATGTGAATATCATTCAAATTTGTTTAAATTAGTGCGAAATTTTCATCGGTATGCTTGAACCGATATCACTGCTTTATCAGATATCAGCTTATTCCTTTTACCATTAAGGTCAAAGGTTAATTTCATAAGTTAAAGGTACACTTCATAGAAAACGAAGCTTTAACCTGTTGTTGCAGAATGAATGTTAAGAGGATCCTTCAAATTCCTTTAAATATCCCGAAATTTCAATTAGTATATTTGAACTGATATCTTTAACTCTCTAACCATAAAGGTCAAAGGTTAATTTTTCAAATTAAAAGATTATTTCAGAGAGAATGGAAAAGATTCGACTTATTGCGATCGTGGATCCTTCAAATTCCTTTAAATATCCCGAAATTTCAATTAGTATATTTGAACTGATATCTTTAACTCTCTAACCATAAAGGTCAAAGGTTAATTTTTCAAATTAAAAGATTATTTCAGAGAGAATGGAAAAGATTCGACTTATTGCGATCGTGCAAGTTCAAAAATATCACTACTGCACTGGAACCTTTATCAGTAGTTTAGTCAACTTTTTTACCAGAAAGGTCAAAGGTTAATTTTTCATATTAAAGGATTATTTTTTAGAAAATAAAGTTAAGATTTGTTACAGAATGAATTTGACGAAATTTACTTAATGTGTCTCAAATTTTCACTGGAATGGTTTATAATATATCGACTTTACCTCTTTTACTTTAAAGGTCAAAGGTTAAATATTCAAAATAATGAAAATTTTTTAAAAAAAATTGAAAATTTCTTAAATAGTAGGAAATTTTAATAGATGAGTTGGAAACGAGATGACTGGTTTATCAAAAGCTTAACGAAAGTCAACTTTCAGCTTTTTACCGTAAAGGTCAAAGGTTAAAATATTCAAAATAATGGAAATTTCTTAATAAAATTGAAAATTTCTTAAATAGTTGGAAATTTTTATTAATGTTTTGGAAATGAGATGACTGGTTTATCAAAAGCTAAACGAAAGTCAACTTTCGACTTTTTAGCATAAACGTCAAAGATTTAATATTCAAAATAATGGAAATTTGTTAATAAAAATTTCTTAAATAGGTGGAAATTTTTATTAATGAGTTGGAACGAGATCACGGGTTTATCAAGTGTCTTACGAAATTCAACTTTCAACTTTTTACCATAAAGGTCAAAGGTTAAATATGCAATATAATAAAAATTTGTTAATAAAGTGGAAAATTTCTTAAATAGTAGGAAATTTTCATTGATGAGTTGGAAACGACATGAGTGGCTTATCCAGTGTCTTACGAAATTCAACTTTCAAGTTTTTACCTTAAAGGTCAAAGGTTAAATTTGAAAAAATATAGGAATATCAATATTTTTACAAATTTTGATAAGTTTTTCTTAAGAATTTTAAGGCCAGAGAAAGTAAACATATTTCTTTAAACGAAAAAGCTTTAACAGCTTTCTCAAATAAGGTCAAAGGTTAAAGTTTCAAAATTAAATGAATATTTTAATAGTTTTCAATTTATGGTAAAATTTTTATATAATATTTATTATAAGTTCAGAGTTAGCAAATTTCTTACGATATGGAAAAAACTTGCTTTAATTGTAGTTTAACATTTAAACTTTAATTAATCTTTTCTGACAGCTAAACAAACTGACCCTTAAACGGTTAAAGTAATTGACATGCCTTTTAAACATGCAGTAATTTTTATATATATAATTTTTTTTATAATAAATAAATTTATATTAAAGTAGTAGTGGTGGTAAGTAGTAGTTAATAAGTATATACAATATATATATTTAATTTTCTGTTTTTAATAAAGGGATGCCAATAAGGGAAGAGATATATTACTATGTGGCAAGAGTGTGTGTGTATATATATAATATATATATTTTTTTTAATAAAATGTTTAATTAAAAATTACTTTTTTCCAATATTGGTAATTTTTGCGCATGACTAATTTATTTTCAGTTTTTTTTATACTTTATTATTAAACTTTTATAATAAGCTTTTATACACAGAGTACAAACATACTTATAACCCCAACTCTGCGAAAAAAATATAATAAAATAATAAAGAAAAAAAAGAGGAATCCCTCCAGCCTAGTAACACTTATAACCTTAACAAACATACACAGAGAGAAAACTAACTAACAAAAAAAATTTATATAAAATAAAGTTAAAGGAAAAAAGTGAAAAATTTTTTTAAACGAAATTCCTGCTAACAATAAGTATTTGTATGCATACATACACACAAACAACATATGAGCTTACTTACACTCTTACATATCTTTGAATATATGTGTTTTTTTCATATACATACCACAAAATTTATTTTATTTTTATATGATTTTACTTTTTTTTCATTTTTGTGCAAATTCTATGAAAAGAAATTTTCCATTATACATAATTTTGTTTTTTTTTTTTTTCATATATATTTGTACATTTTCTGGTATATTTCCTGGCAACAGCTTCCTACCCCCCACCTTACTAGCCTTCAAACTTAATAAATTTTTTTCTTTTCTTATTTTAAGCCTAAAATAAATAAGAAAAGCTACCAAAATTGCAAAAGAAAAATTGTATAAAAATTAAAGGGAAAAAAAAATCAGCCTGCCAACCAATATATTCACAATTCTCAATTCACACAATTCACGCCCCCACCTTGCCTCTACAATATGTATTTACATTTACAAGAAAACTAATTCTTTTCTTTTTTTCCTTAAGCTCACAAGAAAACGTACAAAAAAATTATTATTGTATAAAATAATGAAAAAGAAAAAAGCGAGAAAAAAAAGCAGAAAAGAAATTCTGCACACTACTATATAATTTTATACAAAGTCATCCGATTTAAGGAATACAAATTTACACACACATACACACAAACTAACATAGTTTTTATGTTATAAATTTCCTCTTACAATTTACAAAAACTCCCCAACCTCCCCTCCAGTCTCCCCCCCCATCACCCTACTCTCACTACTTTAATCATACTTTCTTTACAATTTTGCCAGCTTCACCCCCTTTTTAATGTATTTGTTTGTTTGTATGTGGAAGAAATCGGTTAGCCAGTCAGTCAGTCAGACCACCACCCACCCACTTAATTTTTTTTTTTTTTTGGTTTATTTTTCCTCTTTTTTTAGTTTTTATTTGGGTAAGAGTTGATGTCTTTTATAAAACTTATAATTTTTCCTTGTTGTAGTTGTTGTTGTACAACATGACTTGGCTAAAATAAATTTCATTCTTAAGAAACTTTTGAGCCCATGCAAAAAAAATAAAAAAAAATTGTGGAAAATGAAAAAAACATAAAAATTTTTGCCAAAAGTAAAGCAAAAAGAAGCTGGAAAGAGTTTTAAAGGAGTGTAAACTTGGAAATTTTCCAAAAGCTTATATATACCCCAAATACTTATGTTTGAAAAGCTTTTCTTTAGATAAAATTTCTTTTGAGGACTTTATCTCTAAATGCTTTTGTTAAAAAAAAGTTCTCTCTGAAGCTTTACTTTAGCAAAAGTTTACTCAGGAAACTAGTCTTTGAAATACAGCTTTTAGTAACCTTTTCTCTATAAAATAATGCCTTTTCAAGAGGTTTATTTCTAGACAAAAATCCAGTAGAAAGCTTTTGATAAGAAAAAGTTCTCTCAGAAAGCTTTCTTTAGACAAGCTTGCGAAGATTTTCCTTTAAAAAGCATTTCTTTAGATAAAATTCCTTTTTAAAAGTTTAGCTTTAGACAAAATTTCAAAAGAAAAGCTTTTATTTAGAGAAAGTTCTCATAAAAAGCTTTTGTTTAGAAAGTGTTCCTGCTGGGAATTTCTTTGACAAGCTTTTCTTTAGAAATTTTTTTTTTTGAAAAGCTTTCCTTTATGAAGTTTTTCTTTCAATAAAGTTTCTTTGAAAATATTTTGAAAAGCTTTTCTTTATGAAATTTTTCTTTCAATAAAGTTTCTTCGATAATAATTCTCTTTCAAAGCTTTTCCTTTGAGAAGCATTTATTTAGATAAATTTCCTTTTGAAAACTTTAGCTTTAAATAAATTTCAAAAGAAAAGCTTTTATTTAGAAAAAGTTCTCAAACAAAAACTTTCTTTAGAAAATGTTCCTGGTGGAAAGAAATTTCTTTGGAAAGCTTTTAGATAGAAAAAGTTTTTTTGAAAAGCTTTTTTTGATGACGTTTTTCTCTCAATAAAGTTTCTTCGAAAAATTTTTTAGAAAAACTGTTCTTTAAGGAAACATTTTTTAAGAAAAGTTTGCGAATAATAGTTCTCTCTCAAAGCTTTTCCTTTGAGAAACATTTCTTTTGATAAAATTCCTTTTGAAAAGTTTAGTTTTAAATAAAACTTCAAACGAAAAGCTTTTATTTAGAAAAAGTTCACAAATAAAGCTTTGATGGGTAAAAATTTCTATGGAAATCCTTTCTTTAGAAAAAATTTCTTTGAGAAGAAATTTTTTAGAAAAAAACTGTTTGAACATGAAACTTTTCGTTACAATAAGTTCTTTTAAAAACTTTTCTCTATAGAAAATTTCTTTCAAGAAGTTTATACAAAAATCTCTTAGAAAGCTTTTCTTTATAAAAGTTTCTTCTCTTATGATGCCATTGCTTAAAAAGCTATAGATCAAATTCCTTTTGAGCAGTTAATTTCTAGGTAAAATTTAGAAAAAGCTTCTCAGTATATGATTCTTTATAAATTGTTCTCTTATGAGCTTTTCTGTGTAAATTGTTCATAATGAGAAGAAGTCTTTTAGAGAAAAATTTCTTGAGAAAAGAGAAAAAGTTTTTTTATGAAAAAGT